ATAGTATGTCCACAGTAAATGATGGAAAATATCATTGGAATGGTTATGTTTCATGGAGTTCTGGGGCTAAAATGCCATGACAAGCTTACAGGATCATGTTTGATGTCACAGTAACCATCGATCAGGCACATGATTGTAGAGGCTCAGTACTACTTGTGACACTGATGTTTACAACACTACAGGGGCTGGACAAAATAGCAGAAACACTACATGGAAAAGGGCTTTAACTAAATCACTATTACAAATGTGGCTATAAAGGTCAGTCAAACTTGTTTGAAAGCCAGTTTACAGTTCATGTCAGCTACAAAAGAGATCTGGAAATCAGCACTTTGATCTCATTCCAAGGCCAATGCACAAAAATAGACTAGTGGCCTTTTCCAAAGGCAAACTAAAGATCCCCACACATTCTGGTCTATTCAACAAAATGGAACAAATGAAAGACCTCTTCCACAGAGACACTGAGTGTGAGATGTTCAGGGTTTCCTGTGCTATGATGGAGTCATTCATTTGCAGACATCTTATGCTGAACTCATTTTAGTGACATAGTCATCGGCCCTGGGGTTGAATTCTTTGAAGTGCAGGTGAGATTCATGGCTGATGATGCTAGCACTTTCCGAATTCAAAACCCCAGCATCCCTTGCTCTACTCCATTGTAGCTCTCACTCAAGTTTAACCAGATACTCCTTTTGCCAGTAAGGCACATGAGTTGTGAAAGCTGCCTGATCTAAGCTGCCTCAAGCCGGGATTTTTTATAGGGAGGTCTACTTCGGCAGATGCAGAGCTTCTCAAGCTGATCTTCAGACACTTCAGCGGGTTCCCTGAAACATTCTCTCAAACAAAAATGACTCTACACTGGCTTTGATCCACTGCTCACTTTAGCAGTGAACCTGTTGAAAATTGTAAAAGAACTTGATGCTGTCGAAATGATAACAATGTCTTCCCTGGACGGCCCCATTTTGGGGATTTGTCTCAAAATTAAATCAGATGTACATCTCACGCACATAATATTTTCTGAAATGGTAATAAATCCATCCAATATTATGTTCGAAAGGTCAAGTGTCATCTGTAGCCACCCTTCTCTTTGTTGCCACTAATTGGTGCTGCTTCAATTTCATCAGCTCCAGATCTTCACCCATACAATGTGTCTGCCAAGTTCAAAAAAGTTTGCTCAGAAACTTTTTGAGTTATTACATTCACAGGGTCAAATATTTTCTGGGATCACCCTTCCCTTTGCTGCCACTAAGTGATATTGCTTCAACTGTGGTGCACTTTGTCTCAAAATTGTCTCTTAAACATTACCTTACCATCACTGATATAATATGTTTGCAAAGTATGGAAAGTAACTGACAAGTACTTTTTGAGTTATCACTCTGAAAAGATCAAGTGTCTGAGGTAGCCCTTCTTTTTGCTCTCACTATGTTATACTGCCTCAATTTTGTTGCAATCTTATCACTTCCAGATCTTCACCCATACACTGCAAACATTGAAACACATGTCAAAGACTTTGTGAGATATTGTGGTAACAAGATCAGGTGTCTGAGGCTGTCTGACTGTCTCTTTCCTATCATTATTTGGCCCGGCCTTAATTTTGTTATGATTTGCCTCAGAATTTGGTCAGTTCCATTTCTTCACCCATACTATGCGTCTGCAATTGCTTGAAAAAGATCCTTCAAATAGAGTTGTCACACAAACAGGTTAACGTGTCTGCAGTAGCAATGGACCAATCCTAAAATCATTTGTATTCCTCACCTGGGGAATACAATAAGTCCTCGTTACAAACGGAATATTATATAACTGCATCTGCTGAACTTTTTAATTAACCTGGACACATCAAAAGGATGTTAAACCGAATACAGCTGAATAAAACAATTCCCCAAGTACCATGAAATGAATATGTGAATTTAATTAAGCAGATAGAAAGTGAATAAATTCCTTCCCTCATGTGATGTTTGTTGAGCTGTAGAATTTTGCCTTTTGTATAAAATAATTATAGTATAATACTTGAAAACTAGTACCAGACCATAAGAAAATATCTCACTATGAGCTCAAACTAAAAAGTCTTTTGGAATTGAGGGACATTGATTTTTTTGGTCTTTTGAGTCTAACTGTGCAAATAAACTTGCTGAACACCCACTTCGTTCTTCCATAGTGGTCTAGATCCAGAAGGTAGGGCAAAACCACATTGTGTTCCTATACACCTCATTCATGTGCTAATGACTGCGCTCTTCCATGCACGTGTATGTCATTCATTTATATCGCTGATTAAAAATCAGGGCTCTGTGCAGCAGGGGACCATAGCAATCATAATAAATGGGGGGATTTTCATCAGGAGAATAGAGCGTTTCTGGCTTCCTTTGCTACCATGGAAACCAGGGTGGCCAATAGTTCCTATTAGCCTGATGAGAAAAAAATATTCAAATGACATCACTTTGAATCATCAAATAAACATTCTTCATTAAAATGCTGCAGTGAGTGTCGACTTGGCACGCCCATGCTTAGCAACTGCAAAGTTAATCACGACACACATTTCTATCGTTATTAAAAATGCATTCAAACAGAAGTTTAAAATGAGTGAGTGAAACTGTGGTTTCGGCAGACATGTCGCAATTGTCTGCAGCGGGTGGAAATCTGGGGTGAAATATCAGCAAAAATAAGGAAAGTGGATTAAAATAAGTCTGTATGCCAATGACATAAAAGATAAAGGGTAACAATTTCAACTAGGATGGTCATTGATGTAACCACCAGTTACACTGCATGGAATAATGGAACAACTGCAATTAAAGGGGCATACATTTTTATAAAATGTTATAATAAACAGTTGCGTAATACATATGTAAATATCTATTTTATGTAAGCCAGAATTGCACCAGGGGCCCTGTGAATAATGAGCTGTAAAGTTGATTCGCAGACAAATGTATAATACTTCCCCCCGAAGACTCGCAGGATGGGAAAAAAAAGTTATAATTTTTAATTTTGGCTAAGAGCGATATTCTAATAAATCAAGAATTCCAGCACATGCTCTGTTGGCACGGGAAGCCAGATGAGGAGCACCATGAAATCAGAGGGATTGCTCACAAGAAACTGACGTCAGCACTTATGTAACTTTGGACTTTGCGTAATTAAAACTAAAGCCCACTTGAGGAGCTGGAGCGCTGGGCCACGTCCCTGTCGCCCGCTCACCTCGCTGCAGGAATGTGGCCTCGCGCTGCAGGGGAAGCCGCGGATTTATGCCATAGCAACGGAACTCTCCGGCACAACCAGGAAACTGTTTGTCCGACAGAATTTTCCATGAATAAACAATTTGCCTGCTAATAGATCCCAAGCATTCCCAAGGACACGCTGACTGGAGAGATTTATAACTGCGAAAATGCATACTCGTTTTGGAGCTTGATCCTGATTCAGGTTTCTATGGAACTTACAGAATGTTACACGACAGTCCTGATAACACGTGGGGGGGGAAAAGGAGCTTTTCAAAACATCTCCTACCACTAGAGTGGGCACCTATTCTAAAAGGCAGCCTTTAACGCTCTGCAAAATGAAGAAAGTGTGAGTCATGATTTCTTGGGTTGCTTTTGAAAGCCTGCTTCCCAGCTGTCAAACCGCAAACAGTCGACGCTTTTCATCATGGCGCACAGCTCGTGGGAAGAGTACTGCTGTGACTTGTGGGATCCAAAGCGGCTGGACCGTCGTGACGGCTAACCACGACGGATGTGGGGCGCCGACCGGCATGGAGGTCGTGTTGGCAGAAGCACTGCATAAAGGCGTGTATCAGTTAAGAGATGGAAAGCTCTTGGGATTGACCAACATTGGCCTTTGCTAAAATGCTGTGTCGGCTATCTTGGACCATCACTAAAACGATTAAAACGTAAACGTGAAGGTCAATCTTTGTAGCCAAGGAACGATAACCACTTTATGTAAAAGTCTTGAGGCTGTTTGACTTGCCTGCAGTTTTATCATGGTCATATAAACCCAGTTACTACTAGGAGGGTTCAGGAAGATGTAGTTTGAAAACATCACCAGAAGTACAAGACATACATGCTACAATGGCAGACTTTCCAATCCTAAGGAAGTAATTTCCATTTCTGCTTCAGAAACATTATCTAGGTAAAGGCACCTTTACTTGTACATGCGAATGACAATATTTTTATGACTCAGTACCCAAAATACAGGGTGACACACAGACCCAACCGCAAAATAACAAGAAGGAAACCTATTAGTAGCACACTGATACAAACTAATGTTTATAGATAGATAGATAGAAGTATGTGGTATAAGAAATAGCTTTTATGTTACATGACCTTGCAGGGCTTAAGAGGAGCACTGAAATCATATAGTCATATATTTCAGTCGCTAGGAGCTCTATTTGACAAATCATTGCAGTCCTTGTTCAGAAGATTGGCATTGCTTCTGCCTCAGTAGGACCAAAGAAGATCCCAGAGACAGGACTTCTATCATAATCATAAATACATAGGATGTCAATGAACAGCTTAAAATAAACCTGATCTAACACAATATGCAGAAAGTATTAAAGATGGCACCTTAAGCAATCAAAAGATTAACACAAGAGAAAAAAATCGCAATATTCATTTCTGTTTACTGGACATTCTTCAAAAAAATTAAATAACAGTGGAAAGATTCAAGTGTTTAAAAGGTTATTGAAGTTTAAAATTCAAACCATTCACTACATTTCAAACTATGTTGACTATGACCATAAGAACGGATAATGACATTTACAGTGAATATGTCAGAATATACAGCTACTTCAAAATGCACATTTTCTAAAGGCTTCATAAACAAATCCTTCATAACCAGAGGGTCAACACTCAATCAATTTTAAAACACAAAAGTGATCATTCGACTTTCATAATATACATAAACAAAATGCAATATATAAAACCTTTTTATGGAGATAAGACAACAGCAAAATTGCACTTCATCAGTTCATCACATGCCTTACCTGGTAAAATGTTTTGATAAAAAAAAAATCAGCGAGACTGAAAGACATTGCATAGGCACCTATTTATTAATACTGGAAGGCAAAACTGTTGAACTACGTTTGGTGTTTGGAGAGTCAGCAAGAGTATCAGAGCTGCACATTTTTTCTTAAGGCACAAGGAGTCAGACATCTGAAGGACGGAATATTTTAAAAAGATCTTAAGCAATCAAATGAAAGCATCACACAACTGGGGTTTTCCTCAAATTATTATTCATATATGCCGGAACTGAAGAATAAAAATCACATAACTAAATGCACTTTTAACTCCTTTGTAATATCTTTAAACTGTCAGGATTTAGATGAGATTCACACCACATGCGGCCCTCTGCCATTCCAAAGACAGAGCCCTCTCAATCAAAGAAAGAATCCCTTTGGTGTCGCATCACAAACAGCTTACAGTACACATGATGCAGCACTTACATGATGTCTTAGCACCCGTTTGAAGCTAAAGGCAGCGTGTTACAGCACAGTTCCAAAATGAATGCATGTGCTAACAGTCACTCCAAAGCTTAGTGCAGTATGCCCTAGATTAATATCTTTACTGGTCGTAGGTATGTTTTTTCTCTAAAAGCAGTGGTGATATTTGGGATTTGCTACAAACACGAGCAAACATTGACGCAAGAAGGTTGGAGGGAAAAAAAAACAGGCGTGGGTCAGAACCTCTTAAAACAGGGCCCTGGCAGTTATGATATCAGAATCTTTAAAAGGCCAAGTGAAAAAAACTATAGTAATAATAAAAACCTTGTGTAGTAAATTATTCTGTGGTCAACCCCAACATATGAAGGAACACACTGTAGCACTGTTGCCAGACACCTCCAGCGTTGTGGGTTCGAATCCTCTCCCAACCTCTGCAGGTGTGCCGTTTGCATGTTCTTCCCATGTTTTACAGTTTTCACGCACACTCTAGACACACAGTTAGGAAATCTGATGTCTCTATATTGTCCATTGTGTGTCACCACCAATGGACAGACGTCACGTCCAGGGTGTTTCCTGGCCTACCGCTTCTTAGAAAGGCCCCTCAACAACCCTGAACCAGATAAGCTCGGCAGAGGGATGGCTGAACAAAGAGAGCTAAAAAAGTATCGTCAGAATGCCACTTCTAGCGCAAGTGGGCTGTCACACCACGGATGCAATTTTCTGGCAGCGCGTAGCGCACTCGCTGTCGGACTCCAGCTCCTCTGCCTTGCATTTGCCCCAGCATGGCAACAGGGACAGAAAAAGGCCGAAACCTCCAAGCAGCACACATCCCCCACTGAAGAAGAACGCGAAGTCATAGGATTGCGTCCAGTCGAAGAACCAGCCTGAAAGCATAGAATATACAGCTACTTTAGTCTTTGCACATAGTCAAGGAACCTCGAGAAGGTAAAAACATGGCAGGTGACTGATTATTTAATCAAATGGAAACATTGTCTAGTGTGGGGTTTCCCAAGCGGGTCCTCAGGGACCCCCAGACAGCCCACATTTTTGCTCCCTCCCAACTCCCGGTAGAGGGAGCAAAGATGAGGACTGTCTGAGAGTCCCGAGGACAGGACTGGGAAACGCTGGTCTAGTCTATATGGAGCTCACATATTTTCACATTGGAACTGAAATATCGACACCACAAAGATACAGTAATAGTTCAGATGGGAGTGAGCACCTTACCTACAACCGGAGCACCGAGCAGAGTCCCAAGCCCACCGAAGAACATCAGGATCCCGTAGGCTTGACTTAGTGCTTCAAGCCCAGCAATTTTAGCGGTGATGTAGGGCGTGATACCCCAGTTGCCCGAGAAAAATCCCAGCACCACCGAGATAATCTGGAGGCTGATGTAGCTTCCACATGTGGGAATGACAAGAAGGGTAACTCCCGCGCCAACCAGTGTGAATAAGTATAGATACATGACACTGATCCACCTGACATCAGCGACCACACCTAGAACCAGCTTGCCCAGGCCAGTAGTGATGGACACGATGGAGACCAGAGGTATGGCGCTGATGTCTTCGATGAGCCCCTTGCTCTGGGCCACGTCCTCCATGAACAGCACAGGAGGTGAGGCCCCAAGGCTGAAGAGAAAGAGACTTAAGCAGAGGGACACGAAGACCCGATCCTGTAAGAACCGGCTTGTGGCATTAATGTACTTGGAGTAGGCCTGCTGTGCATCCTTGATGACCTTCAACAGGTTGTAACCAATAAACAGTTTTTCATTGTGTGCTGTTTCCACTTTGCTGTGAAACTTTGGGCTGGAAGCTGTTAAGCACTTCTCATCAGACCCCGTGTCATTAATGGGGTCTACTGTTACAGGGGGTTTCTCTGGCAGGGCGGGGAGCTGTTCCTGGGCTCGCTGCAGTGCTGCTTTCTGCTTTAGGAAGTAGCCTGGAACGTGTAGAGGCCTCATTGGACCAGCACAGGCTATAAGGTGCAGAGCTAGGGCCCCAACGATCAGCAGACACCATTCAAGTCCATAAAGTTCCATGAGCTCGACTTGAGCAGTGGCGTACAAGAATCCCCCAACGTTGGTCCCTGCAAGGCACATACATCTGTGAGACAATCACATAAGATTAATCTGTGAGACAATCACATAAGATTCATCTGTGAGACAATCACATAAGATTCATATGTGATAAGAATGCTTCTGGAAAAATGTGAATGTTAAACACAGAAATGAAAAGCCCAATATGGTTCCAGAAATGCTTAAGGTACAAAAAATAAAGTTGAGTACCTGTAGTTACAATTCCGAGGGCAAGACCACGTTTCTTGTCAAAATACTGGCAGGTCATGGTTACTGTAGCAGCATGAACAAGGCCGCAGCCCAGCCCTGTAGGAAAAGGGAACAGCATTTAAAAAGAATATCAAACCACAAGGAATAAAATCATTTGAACTTGCATGACATATCTCTTCAAGATTGGTATCTCAGACTAACAATACAGAAACCTAATATAGAGGAATATTGTAATTGGCTGGGCAGATCCAGTCCTGATGGATGTCGAGATAACGGTTTTTTGAAGCTCCTTGAATCATTACTTGGTAACAATTTGAAATATCCGCGATAGAGCTGAAATTGTTATTCTATACAATAAGTTTATATTTTCCTTCTGCATATATATGCTCAACTGTAGGTCACAAATGGCATTACTTACACATGGTAAACAATACCACTAAGGGATTTTAATTAATGAGGCATTTTACACAATCAATGTGCTTTTTTCTGGACACATTTTCACGTGCTGAGTTGACACCATCGCTGACCAGACACTGTGACCTTGAAGGATAAAAAAGCAAAACTAAAGGCAGGAACGGCTGCACACACCAACGACAGTTCCGTAGGAGAAGATGAGGAACGGGACGTTAGGGGTGAATGCACTGAGCATCAGGCCACCTGACACCATGACGCCGCTGAAAATCGTGACGGGTCTCGCACCGAAGTTCATGACGCAGGCACTGAACACGGGACCTGGGGAGAGACGGAGAAGCAAGATGCCAACAGGGGAAAAACATCCAACCAATCTTCCAACCATACCAAACCACACCACATCATACCAAGCTTCCAACCATAGCCATACCAGGCAGCACAAGCCAGGAAACCCCCCATTCCATTCCATCAGGATTCCAGAAATTTAGATAGTATTTCACCTAAATGCCTTTGGCCTCCTGGGTTTTCTCTTCCAACTTAAGGAGAACTTCCAAATCCCACATACAAGTACTGAGGGTGGGGCTAAAACCCCATGTGAAATTTCAATTCATTGCTCATTATGTTACGCACCTGTACTGTGTATATTGCTCATCTTGTTATCCACAATCGTTAAGGAGTCTCAATTTTAATGCTATTTTTTGCCTTTATTTACTACTAAGTATCTGTGGTTCTCAGAGCAAATCACCTAGTCAAACTCCTTGTAAGTGTGACCTTACTTGGCTAATGAAACCTGATTCTCATTCTGTCTTCAAAAGCCTTTAGCATCTCTCTATTTCACTATGTCAACTAGGGCAACTATACAGTCAGAAAAAAGTACCAATTTGTACCTTTGTGGGTCCAATTACTTGTCACTGGGTCTGTACCTTAGCTATATGTAAATGTACCTTTTTAGGTACAGAAATGGACTCTGATGAACATTTTTGCACCATTGGGGGATACATTCATATCATTTGTACCTTGGGGAACAAAACCAGGTCTGTCCCCTTTTTTCTGACAGTGTAGACAGCTTTTTTTTCAGGTCTCAGGGCTGTCCGCCTAGTACGTATGCAATAAGATATGGCAACCATTAGGAAGTAAGCCAAAGAAATCCATCAGTCAGAGATAAAAAGGTGAAGAGACTCCAGAAAAGAAATGGGGAAGAACAACAAAAGAGCTGTCATCACCGCTTTACACTCTCATCGTGAAACAGAACGCTTGATACACCAGGAGAAATGGATTATTTGAAAATTTGCCACCAATGGACGCTACCATTTCCAGCAACCTTTTAATATTAATATCGTGACATTATCTAACGGTCGATCTGATTTTCCGGAAATGAAAGGGCCCACTCAAATACGACGCATTGTATTTGTGATCTTCACAGAGTGCCTTCATGGTGACAAGCGTAACAAAAAAAACACACAGTCAGCACTGCACACACTACCCAGTACACCAGACAGGGCACAGAACTGAACATCAAGGCGACTGCTTCGTCATAAACCAAAGTGCTTATTACTATGTTCTAAAGCAACAGATAAGAAAACTGCACAGGTCAGCCATTAAAAGTGACGTTTTTGCACTATAACCCCCAAGCACCTAAGGGTAATGGTCAATCACATGTGATACTAAATATTAGCAATCTCTTTCAGTAACTTAGTAACCCAGAATTTTGCATGATGGATCGATGTATGGATGGATTATACAGTCCTCGATGCAGCTGGTGGTAACCACGGTGATCCCTTCTCTTGATGGATCTTGCAGACTCTTAATTGGAGTAGCAATTATTCTTTGACAATTGCACCATATCAGGCTTCTGCTGCATCAATAAATATCCGGCATTTTCAAATAGACCTACTTCTTCGGTGAATAGCTATGCTGAAGTGTGATGCATCTCAGTGTCGCCTTAACTTTATTAGAATTGTGTCCGCTTTTGTGTGATTGGTAAAGTCCTGTGTTTCTGGTACCAGAAAATGTAACGGGAAAAGAGAACAACAGCAACATACTCACTGAGCAACATACTAACTGAGCAACATACTCACTGGCAACGAGTCCGATACCAGACACAAGAGACCCGACCCAAGCCGTCACTCCCTTTCCCTCCTGGAAGACAGTGAGCCACTCGGGGTAGAGTACACCAACAGCCTGAGTCTGTCCATATGCGAGCAGCTGGGCCATGAAGGACACCAGCACAATGATCCAACCCCAACCTCCATCTGGAGCTTTGTCTGTGCTGTGTGGTTCCATCCTGTAAGATAGTCACGACACAATTCCCAGCATCAAAAGAAGAAAGCTATAATAACAACCATCCAGATAAAGGAAGACAGTCAACTAGAATACATGCCACATTACTAATCACAACAACAGGACAATTGCGCTGAAGAGATACACAGATATTTTACCATATGCGCCTGTCAGTTAGAGAGGTAATCTGTCTTGCCTAAGTTGCAACACGTCTCGCATACGTTTTACTCATGACCAGGGTTTTATATCATGCAGGGTACGTATGCATACATATACGTGCTACTTTGCATTAAGTTTGCCTGCGTGTCGCGCAACATGCGTAATTCAAAGTACAGTTTGTAAACGGACGACTATAGATGGCGTGTTCTGAAATTCTGAAAAACAGAATAATGCATGTCGCATAGTAAAGATAAAAAACCAGAAAATTGATCAAAGTCAAAATTGTTACTTCGAGCCAAATTTCCCCTGTAAATGGTGTAAATGATGGCAAAACGGTGTTACAAACTTGCTCCTTTCCTGCATTTTTGTGATTACGAACCAGGTAAGTACATAGTCGGGTTTCTGATTGCTAGGATTTAAGCGATTTCTTATTATTATTTAAGCGATTTCTTAATTATGTCTAATAAGCTACTTGGCAGAATATGTCCAAGTTTTCTTTAAAATGTCGCTGTGCATCCCTCTAGATGAACCATACAAATTTCCTGAAGCGCTTTATTCTTATTTATGTATATATACTTTTCCCAACAATATACTAGTACATAACCAGATATGAACTAAAATTGTTAAATTTCCTCTAATCCCGTTCATATCAGTTAGGCTATTTTATTATTAACCGGAGTCAACTGTTCCTTACCTTTCCGATCGTGCACACCTGCCGAAGTTTACTTATTGTGACCCAGGCAAGGGTAAAGTAGCTGACGAGCTTGACCAGTAATAATTAATTTCGATTTTCTTATCATACTGCTAAAGAAAAAAGGTTTCTCTAAATTTGTCATTTAGAAGCAGCGTAAGGTATAAGAAATCCCGCGTTAAACCTTTAGACTACATGAAACCACCATCACCGGCGAGGAAGAGCACACTGGATTGGAGCCCAGTTAAGTGTCGCTTTTGTTGCCAGCGCTGGAAACCGGTTTGAAGCTGTTCTCGCTGGTCCGGGTGAAATGTGATGTATACGATGCTTTACTGTATTCGTTGTCCCAAGCATGATCAAAGCATTACGCTTAATGCTTAATTTTTTATCTTGCTGAGGGGGGCACGCAAACAATTACTTTTTGTTTTGCGGTCGTAATGCGTATCACTTATCACCCATCTGCCACTTATTTCCTAAATCTAAATCTAAAATTACAAACTGGTCTTTTACCATTATTTATGTCAGTGACAGCCATATAACTGCAGACCGCTGAATCTATTGAGCATATATTGTTATGCCAGACGAAACCAGGGAAATGGAAATTTAATGGAAATACGTAAAATATCCTTTGGAAAATTTGCCCCATTCTTTTAGTTGAAGACCGTTTTACCATCCATCTTATCAAAGTAAGAGAGGTGTGTGGGAAAAGTTGTGTGGATTAACGCACAAGTTGTTCAAATAATTGATTTAGGCTGGTATTGGTCTTGATACAGTCAATTCACGGTGGGGGATTGGGACATTATTAAAGAATGATTTCTCTGGGCGCTATAAGAATTCAGTTGATCATCTTCCACGCTTAGTGTTTGCTGCTTCCTAGTCCATATGGGGCCCTAGTACAGTTTCACCGCCGGCCCCCCGACCATTACATCCTATGCCAAAATAAATTAGCAAACAGTAAATGAATTAATAAAGTGAAGAACGAATGGGAAAATGAGGATTTTTTCATTATTAAATTTAGTTTAATAAGTATGATAACGCAATAAATAACATTGTAGCGTCGACGAGCTGCCTTCCGCTAACGGGAGCCAATTTGCATGTTTCCCATCACGCTCGCTCTGCTGGTGTCAGTCGCGTGTACTTCTCTCTCTCTCTCTCTCTCTCTTTTTTTTTTTTTTTTTACCTGTGTCCTGTCCGGCAGCTTTAGCAAGCAGAATTAATGTCACTAACATGTGACCAAACATTTGCTTTACAATGAG